TATGATAAATATTTGAGTATCATACACATGGTACTGGTACTCTATAAATAAAATAAACATCTGGACAGTGTACCTTACAAAAGTAAATATTAATAATAAACAAGTGACATAATAGCATAACAAACAAGAGGGCACAGGTAAGACAGCTGCAACAGACAATGGCAAACAAAACTTGTTAACATCATCAACTGAAGATAAAAGAATGAGAGAGACTCCAATTGCAACACACACACACTCTTCGTTAACACATTAACGGTGACATACACTCACTCCCTCTTACTTCCACAAACTCGTTAAACTCGATGGTTCCATTTTCATCAATGTCAACCTCTTTGATCATATCCCTGATCTTGTATCCAGGGGTAGACTCGCCCAAGGCCTTGAGGACTTCAGCAATCTCAGAGCATGTTATGTGTCCATTGCCATCAGCATCAAACTGGAGAAAAAGAGAGCATAATATTATTATTACTAATATGTATATAAAATAATATTATTATTGTCATATTATTTGATTTTTACTGCTGTTTCTGCAAGATGATGAGTACTACTATTACCTGATCAAATTGAGCGCGTATCTCTTCCAACTTCTCGCTTGAAAACTTGCTAGCCATTTTTAAGCTGCGTTATTCCAAACGGCAGGTAAGGAGCGAGTGGAGCAAGAGGAACAGTAAATCAGCAACCCTTCTGTACTACCCTATTTGGATACTAGCAAAGGGCGGGGCTAAGTTGTGCGCATGCGCAAAGATCTCCGTGTATCAATTAGTAAATTAGCCCAGTTTTAATTATTAATGCATAAATTATTGTGCAGACAAACAAAGGTGTGGCTCGCGTCTGCATCTAGCTAGCTCACTTCAGCTCAATCTGCAAGCCAGGGCGTGTACACAGGAGATGCCTAAGCTAGGCAAGAAGGGGTAAGCACTATTACTCTCTCCCTGCTATTGCATTTGTGCATTTTTGTAGGAAATCAGATCCTTTAGCTCGTTCTAATCCTAACCTTTCATTAAGAAGGCAAAGTCAGTTTTGAATTTTACTTTAATTTAGTTTTAACTCCTCCTCTTCCTGCTTCCTGCTGCTGCAAAAACTAGTAACGGTAAGATACTATTTCTTAAAACTGTTTAGCTAAATAACTAGCTCCACCCATTATACATTTGCAGCTATAGTTTTCCATTTATGTTTCACTTTGTCATTTGTAGGAAGATGCTCGGGAATTAGCTGATTTTAGTGAAACTGATTTAGTAGAAGGACTACCACAGCATCATAGACTGAGAGATGTAAGAAAAGAAAGAAAGAATGGAAATAAAGAGAGGAACATCATTTTTTTATAATTTTTTAGGGACCAGGAGGGATAGGAGCTCAAACTGGAGCTCTGACTCCAAAACGAACTAAAAAGAAAAAGAAGAAGAAGCAGCCGCAAAGTAATCATTATCATAATTTATAATTCATTATTGATTGATCTAAGGGGAAGACTCGGAAGATGATGAAAGAGGAGGGGGAGCTGGAGTGAGACGACAGCATAGTCTTAGAGAAATGTTTCCATCGACAAGTAGAAACTTTAAATTGGAGGTATTATTATAATTATCATTATTATTATTATTACTATTATCATTATTATTATTGCTGTAGCATGTAGCATCAATTGTGTTTCAAGAAAAGATAAAATCTCAAGAAAAACTAGCTAGAAAGCTCTCCCTGCTATCAGCAAAACAGCGACTATCAAGCC